AAGAGAGAGAGAGAGAGAGAGAGAGAGAGGAGAGAGAGAGAGAAAGGAAGAGAATGAATATTTCATCTATTCTTTATATTGAAGTTTTATTGAAAATTGTTGAATTAAATTCAATTCAATTGAATTCAATTGAATCAAACATATATTAAGTAACATTAAATTTAAATTAAATTAAATTGCATTATTAAGTTTATTATATTGAGTTCAAAAGAGAGAACAAATTAAATGATTGATTGACTAATTAATTAATTAATCAATTGATATGATCAACATTTCATGATTCGATGAGATCATCATTTCATGATAATAATTTGAATTTAATTTAAAATGAGCATAATAGTTTGCAACAAATAAAAGATAATTTTAAAAAGATCTAAGTGACATTCAGGCCTCATAGGACGATAAGTTATTCTAAAAAGGCCTAAATGGCATTTAGATCCCAATGGAATATATTTGCAAAGTTATTTCATATCAAACTGAAATGAGTTAAAGTAAATTACTGCGAATAGAAACTAAAGAAATGGCTTCCTTTTATTGATGAAAGCGGAAATAAAAGTGTGTGACAGAGAGGAGAGCCTTGGTATATTGCTAGTTTGAGGACTAATAGAAGGGATGAATGAGCAAAATGCGCAAATGCCTTGAAGGTGTCGTCTGTATCACATCTCATTCATGCATGCATATGTAATCCATGCATGCAAATGCGCACTACACAGATACCGCAAAAATATTAATCTTTGATCATATTTTTTGAATCAATTAAAAAAAAAAAAAAAAGGTGAGAAAGGAAATAAATGATGAATAGTATACGATTAGATAATGGAATTGTAATAATGCAAATATTTTATGACAACAGGTATAATTCTTCTTGGTGACATTAGCAGTAATAACTAAAAGATAAATACGTATATTGGAAGTATATATTTAAACATAAATATAACAAAAATATTTCACTCAAATCATAATCAAAAATAAAAATTTACCGTAATAGCGATCAATTGGTTTTATGATAAAAGTGTTTGCTACTACTGCATTATTACGCAAAAATGCAGCTGCATGTCACACTAATCTACCATTCATAAATTTCTGCATGACGTAAGAGTACTTCATTACAGGTCATTTGAGGACATTACCTAGGAGAGGATTATTTATCGTTATGAAGGGAATAAATTCAAATCATTTAATCAATTAGCACTTTTCCTTTTTTTTTTAACTTAAAAAAAAACGACGATATATTTCCATTAAGTTACTGATATCAAATCTATAATAGTCTCAATCTATGATATTGACTAAATTGGCTATAAAGGAATGATAATCACAGCAAATGAACAAATTCGCTCATAAAAGAGCCTAGTTTATGCATTTGAGAACACTTCTAGTATTGCTCATTTTAGTAATTCATAATAAAACATCGGCAAGAAAATTCATTGAGATGAGAGAGAGAGAGAAAAAAAGAAGGGATTTGGCTTGGCTTCTGTCTTTTAAAGAGCATTATGCTATTAAAAATAAAAATGAATACTAATGGCCTAAAATTGACTCGAAATAGTCTCTAGGCAATTGAAAAAGGCTTTTTTTTTTAGCTAATTCAAAAGTAATATAAACTGTATAAAAGTAAGTTATTCGAAAGGAAAGCTTATTTAGAATATGGATAAGGTTTAGTCTTTTGTAACTTTCATAAATTTATCAAGAAAAAAAAAAGTTACAGATCAACAGAGATTTAACCGTTCATCTTGAAGTAGAGTAGAAAGTTTGAATGTCCGATATCTGATATCCAATGTCCACTGTATGTCTGAGTATTGTATCTAGAGATTGTAAGTAAGTATTTATTCATTTGGACAAACAGTACTCAACATGCGATCGAATATGCCTGCCATATTTGCATAAACCGTTCAAAAGTGTTAACATTTGAGGAACAAAAATCAAAAATCAAGTACTGGGGGGTCAACAACACATACACATACATGAGAAGATTAGAGTTCAACTAATATGCTAATGATTTCAAATATTTGCATAAAGAGCAGTTATCGTGAATACCAATCTGAAATTATTCATTTAAGTAGCAACTATTCTAACTTAGTTAGATGATATTAATTAACTTGGATGAAAGAAAAGACAGAAATTAATATCAAAGATCAATGAGAAAGATCAATGATCAAGAAAAAAGATCAAAAATTAATATCCTTAGTTAAGGATATTAATTAACTTTCTGTCCTTTTTTTTTTTCATCCTAATTGAATTTTTTCTCATATAACCGCACTAATAATTATAATAGCTTTGGGATTGCGCATTGTGTTCCAAATATTTGTATAATATCATTCATAGTTATTCTATTCTCAAATAATGATTAACAAAATAAACAGCCATCCTAAGAGCTAAATTAGCTCAACGTTTAGCTGTTGAAGAATAAAAGGTCCAATAATGGTACTAAGTGAATGAAAGACACTCAAGCCTATTATTTGACCATCAGGAATGACAGAAGGGAGAAAGGCTACTTTGCCTGAAATGGAAAGCATTGGCTATGTGGTGGCTGTCAATTGAATTTTAAAATACTGTTTCATGTACATCGTTGTTGAATCATTGACAGATTCTCTTCCACATATTTCCCATTTTAATCTTAAAATAGAGGTTAAAGTCCATTATAAATGACCTTTGTAGTTCAACTAGTAATAAATGGAAGTATTGCGACAACTTGGATAAACTTAACAAAACAATTATATCCATCTTGCAACATGATTTGGAATCTTTAAAACAAAAAAAAAAAAAAAAATAAAATGTCACTATCCTAGTGAATATAATCCAAAGAGGAACTTTGGCAATGCAAAGATTCCAAGTGAAACTTCG